ATGAGCATTTGTATGTTAAGGAACTATCTAATGTCCCCTCAGATCTTTTGTTACTTCTCTCTCAGCAGATAGCCCCTAGGTAATCCTTGTAACTGTTTATGATACCTGCTTTCCTGGTTGCTTGCAAACTGAAGGATATGAAGCATAGGTGTGTCCTGGAAAGAGCTAGGAAAAAACAGTGCCTCTATCCTTGGCAAATGCTCTCCCTGGTTATATTCACTTTGCATACAAATAAACAAAAAAGTAATATTTTATTAGGAATCCAGTGGATAGAATAATGGACTGTAACTCAGCAGAGCTGGGTTTGCAGCTCTGCCATTGGCTTATTGGGCAAAGTGATTTGTGTCATCACCATACAGCCTGGGATAAAGACAATTTCTTTGTAATGCAGTATGAGCCTTGAAAAGGAAGAATATTATGCAGAGGGAATAATAATAAAGTCCTTCTAACAATAATAATAATAAAGTCCTTCTAACAATAATAAAAATATGTGTTTTATATATATCTTTATGTTGCACTCAGAGGAATGAACCATATTCTCTTCTGCCTCATGCTTCATCAATGGTGCTTTGAACTGCTTTCCATTTGAAGGGTTACAGGTATTAGTGTACTAATTTTAGATGTGCCTTCAGATACAGGTGTGATTTTACCCTGAAAGTGATAACATTTCATTGTAGTAACACTGGACAGCATTTCCTGCCTCTTCTTTTCTGTTGATAAGCCATAAAGGACTAAGTTTGGGGACCTTACCATTTAGGGTGGTGGTGGGAAGCAGTATTTTTTGTTTGTGAACTGGGTAAACGTGTTGCACTGACTCTTGGGCTGTAAGGACTGCATATGATTCCCTGAAGGTAATTTGCATAAACTAATTTTGTGTCTGCATTGGCTCTTTAAATCTTCTCTGTCTGTATGGGTGACAAAGAAACATTTATTTTGCCTTATTTTACGCAATGTAAATAATAGATACATTCAGGATCGATCTGAATACCTCAGCTGGTGAGCACCAGTGTAGCTCTGGAGTAAGCAGGGTTGCATCAGCTGAGGATCTACCCCGCCATCAGTTCTAAGTGCCAGCCTTGCAGTGCATTATACAAATGTTCACCGTAGTTTGTCAGCAACAAAGCTGTCACCCAACAGTACACACTGCCTTCCATCAGCCATTACTTTTCTGTCATCATCATCAAGTGCAGCTTAAGAGAATCTGTGCATCGTTTCTTTCCTTCTGAACAATTTCCATAGAAATAATTGACCTGCTTTTATGGTAATTCGGTCTCTGCTGTTTGTTACTGCAGCATTTCCCAAGGAAAAATGCAAAACTAATGCCCTAGAACAAAAACATTCAGCCAAATTACTTACCAGTAATCCAAGGAATCATGGATAAATCCATTGCTCAAGTGGCTTCTCATTTGGAACTTTATGTAGTTTTCACTCAAGGGTTAAGGTTTGGTTTTTTTGTGGGTGGAGGGGTTATTTTGTTTTTGAAAGGTAATACTCATGCTCTCTCATGCTGTTGCCCTACAGCAACTTTATATAAATCTCTTCTGAAAACTGTATCTGCCAGCAGTGCCACTCCACCCCCAAGCTTTTACTACTAACACTAGCTAAAAATATTTAAAGGGACTGTTTCCATTTGTTTGGTGCATTTCATTTCATGTTTCTGCCTCTTCCTTCCTTAATTTTTCAAAAAAGTCAATAAGAGAGGTCATTTAAGCCTAGTGTTTTGAAGTGGCAACCAGTAAACAGCCTTACAGCATGATTAATGAGTTCTCAGGAACAGTTTCCTGAAACTCACAAGTAAGTTGGGGCCAACTGAATTAGTTTTAAAGCAAATGAAGATATTCCAGTTATGGGCTGGGACTTTCACTGAGTCACTGTGTAGGCTACATTTTCCACCAGTTTCTACCACTGGCTGATGGTGCTCATGTCAAGGTATAACCTTGGGAAGTATAACCTAGCACAGAAATGACATTCAGAATCTGGACTTCCAACAAGATAAACAAATAAGTGCTTAATTTCCATTTAAGAGCAGGAAATCGTGATCAAGGCATTTGATGAAGATTGTGAAGTTTTAAAAAGGATAATTGCTGTTACAAAAATAAAAACAAATGTTGTTTGATTTTACCCAATGGACATATTTTTCTTGATTTCTTTGACTTCCAACAAGCTTGGGTTTCTGTGGAGTTTCTAGGCTGCTATTGCTTTTTTCAGAGGAAAGGTGTAACTAAGGAAAGACATCATAGGTGCTGCTCTGCTTGTTTAGGCAGGGTCATTCTGTGGAAGGCTTTTGGGTTTGATAAGTGAGCACATTCTGAATTTCTCTACTATCATTTATAAGTTTGTTGAGCAGATTCCCATGGCTGACAGAGCCATCATCTCAGCAGGGATGACAGAGGGGAAGACATCAGTTCTCTTTTGACCTCTTGAAAGTGGGAGTATTGTGTGGAGCAATGGATTGGTGGAAGTACATATTATTTTCATTGCTGCCTAAACCTTAGGGAAGTTCCATAGCCACACTTTGTATGGTGTGCTCACGCTGTGTACAGAGCACCTTCCACACACTGAGTGACAGAGCTGGAGCAAGGGTGTTCATGGAGCTCCTGTGAAAGGACTGATTGCACTGGAAGCTCCTGCTGTAGTGAGCAAGGGCTTTACTCACCTTCCCAAACAATTGTTTTGGTCACCAAGGTTTTTCACTATTCCTGGTGCTCCAGGACTGCCATGAATGAAAAAGGATTGAGTATTTTTAGTGCTCTGAACTGTGTGCTCTCCTTCTCTGTTTGTGTGTTAGGTTGGAGGAATGATTTATATTCTTGAAACATTTTACAGGTGGTCCATTGAATATTTTGCCTGGTGTTGCTTATTTACAGGTAGCTTCAATTAGTAAATTGAGACTAAATGACCTAATAGTAGATGATTTTTACATAAAATGAAGTGTTGAGCTAAATCAATTTTTTTTAAAATATACATGTTTACTCGTGCTCTTGGCACAGAGATAAAGATTGGCAGTGATCCCTGTAGGATGTGGATTTCTGACATGGGTGAGGCTGGATGGAACGTCTATGTAATTCTGCTTGTTTGATGAAGGATGAGTCTTATGAGCTAAGAGTATTATTTTTTCTTTTCTCTTTTCTTCTTCTTCTTCCTCTTTTTTTTTTTTTTTTTTTTTTTTACAAATAAACTATTTGGTCTAACTAAAATACAGTGTGGTTAATCCTGCACTATTAACTTTTCTCAAAGAGTGGATGCTTTAAGAGTAAATTTGATGGAAGCTATTAAGGATGACAAAAACTTCTTTATATGAAAGGAAGTGTAGTGCAATCTAGCTGCAGAGTTCAGAACATTTAGAATTCCATGGTTATTGTAGTATAATACCACAGTCAATTATATTTTTTATTTTACATTTTTCTTTGTCTCTTTCTCACACAAGCCTAGACTATGAATTCATAATGTTAATGAAAAGTGTTGTGATGTTCCTGTAGGCTGCTGTGGGAAAATAATTACAACATGAGGAAGGTCATTCATGATGTGGCCCTTCTCTAAAGCAGGACTTTGTGGCTGATCAGGACATAAGCAAAATGGACTACATGACTTGAAAAAACCTTCAAAACCCCTGACAGATCAACCTACATTCACTGCAAGAATCAGCTTTCTCAGCCCAACTGATCTTTCTGTGAAAAGTTTTAGTTACTGTACTTGAGGCCTTTAGTGACCCAAACCCTACTTTTTGTTGCTGTGCCCCGGACAACTTCTCGTCCTCTCCTTCTCCAACCATGTAACTAAAGCATGAGCCTTCTCCTGAACAAAGGAGCTGGCTGACAGCCTGCCATCTCCTCCACATGCATCTTGCTCAAGGCTGAGGATCAGGAGTAACATGATGCCAAGGCTGGTCTCAAAATCCAGCCTTATGGTTGGCAGATTTGGCAGGTTTGTTTTTCCTTCTCATTCAAACGAGATTAAAATGTAGAAACCTTTTAAGTTTCTTCTCTATTGCTATTCACAGTTCTGTTTGTGACTACTGGAGAAAGAGATGTACACAGCTACTTAAGAAATATGTGTAGACAGGAAAGTTCTTTAAGAGAGCAGAGAATACAGTGCAAGTATGTCTGCTGCTTCTTCTTCAGTCACATGCTACAGTTTAAAAAGCCAGCATGTTTTCTTCCACAAAAAGACCTTTATATTTCTGAACTTTCAGAAGCCTTAATCAATATAAATAACAGTTTGAGCGTGATGACATCATATTCAGTCCTAGAGTTGTGCATCTCAGCTGCTTAGTCATTTAAATCAGTGGAAATAAGCATAGCAGTTAGAAGTTTTAAAAGGTCAAAGAAGCTACTGTCTTTTCAGCTTTGAATCAGCTGAGAGACTCCAGTTTCTGGGAAACATAATGCCAAGGCTGCATCTTGGCATCTCATTTCCTCCTTCCACCTCCTTTGAAGCACTACAGTAATTAGCTTAAAGGGAAAATCACACCACACTCAGTTGCAGAATCCTTTACAGTGAAAGTGCCTTTCTATTTTCTCTTTTACTTGAAACTAAAGAGGAGTTTTAGCCCACACTGTGTCCTGAAATATTTTGACTCAAATGCTCTTACCCAAATGCCAAAAAGCTGTTCACAGATTTTCAGTAAAATTAATACTTTTCAGTACAAATATGACAAGTTCTTTTACCATTTTCTCAGAAGGAAAACAAGTGATAAAGTGTTCCTCAGAGAACAATTTGTGAGAAAAATTAAAATAAAAATAAAACCAAAAGGCTTTTAAAACCTTTGTTTTAAATATGATTTGTTGTCCTTTTAAAAGTGGCGGCGTGATTTCTGGGAGGAAGCCACCTCTCACCTAGACTGCCATGAAAAACACTTCTTTTGTTTTGTTTTTAATGTCAGATTAATCAAAGTTGTGATCAGAACCTGTGCTACATTATCTGTACAGCAGGACTCTGCAACTGCTGCTTCTTATGTGCTTTTACGACTGACTCTTTGTTTTGTTTCTATGCATTTCTAGCTGCCGCTCTGCTACTGATGATGTGAAACTGTCCAGGCAGGTTATGGAGCGTTTCCACTTCGTGGTGTACACAGCCTTTTCAGAGCTGGGAGCCACACGCTGGCGCTCCAGAGACTTCTGGCTGCTTGCACTGCTGGTGGTTTTGCTTTGGTTCCTGAGACTTTACCTGCATTACTTGAGCCAGTGGCTCTTCCTTCGGACAATCTCAGTTCCTGTTACAAAGTAAGTCCTGCTAAACTCTTTTCTCTGTGAGGATATTTCTCCAAATAGCTTGATTCAAAGCAGGTTGTTTGCACTATGAGGAGAACTGATGGCTAAGACTCATGCTGGGAGCTCAACAGGCAAGCTCTGATAGGAGTCCCTGCAGAAACTAAGAGTGCAGAACAAGGACTGCATCCAGAGTACAGTGATCTGATATGCAAATGTGTGTATTAGGTGAAGGTGTTGGTAATATAAACTTTAAACCCAGAACATGACATGTCCATTTGTAAAACTTGTGTCATGACTACCTCTCTCCTATCTGAGATACTCAGCAGGTTATGCATCTTCCAGAAGATTAATTTATCACTTTGGATAAAGTATTTCTAAATGCCTAAGGAGTGCACAAAAGTGAAGAAGCATTTAAATCATATTTCATGCTACCAAAGTGATCTATGAGTAAAATACTTATAAGAATTTAACTTTGATATATCAGTTTTAATGTGAGTACTGCAATGAGTTGACATATTTTTACTGTATAATACATTGACTTTAGCTAAGGAATTAGACCTCTCTAGAGTGTTGCAGGAAAATCATTGCTTGTCATTACCTGGTAGGAAAAAACCCAAAGATGGACTACAAGTCCACTAGGTGATAAATACCTGACTCTATTCATGTTTCTGTGTGGTAGAGAAGGGTTTTACAGAGCAAAAAGGTTCCATCATGCTTAGGAAAGAAAATAGTTCTCTGACAGAAACCTTTTTTTTTCTTTTTTTCACCTTAAAGCATCACACAAAATAGTTCTCTGACAGAAACCTTTTTTTTTTTTTTCCCACCTTAAAGTTTCACATAAACCTGAATCAGTCAGTGTGAGCCAGCAATATGTAACTCTCTGACCAATGTCTGGTGTGGTAGTGGTATTGATTATTGGCTGAAATTTGAACAACGTGTCTGAGCAGACTCTGGGCAGTGCTGGGTATTGTTAAGGTGGTCTTCTAGATCTTAATGCAAAGCCAGCCATCTCTCACTTCTGGCCTTGCACAGCCCCTGTCAACTTAGCCAGCTGGCACTAAAACTTCTGGGAGGCCAAGCATCAAGAGTCTGGGAAAACAAAAGGAGCTCAACAGAAGGAAGCAATGCATGAGAGAGTGGTGGTCATGTTCAAAGCCACTAGTCACAGCTGTCCCAGGCAGTCAGCTAGATAAAGGATAATGGTCTCAAGCCAAAATGCCCTGGATCAGCATCCCAGCCTGTAACTGTGTGCTTGAACAATGAGACTGAGCCGAGCATTCTCTAGTCCTACCAAATGTAGTGGTAACACTCACAAGTAGGAAACAGAGTGAGAATCAAAACACTTCACCTTTAGTTAGGAGCAGAATTTAAGCCATTTCAATAGGACTGAAATTTTTGCCTCAAATTTCATCATCTGTGTGAGGCTCACAATGCCGTGCTGTTCCTGTCTCTTACAGTGCCAGCAAACTTGCTCATGGTGCGAGCTTTGCAAATGCCACCATCTCATAGTGATGAGAGGGACATTTCCAATCACTTTAGGAGTGCTAAGAGCTGTCTTCCATAGCACATTTTCTGCTTTGTGCAGTGCCCAAAGGTGCTGCTGGGCAGAGATGGGTGAGCTCCTGGGGTCTGTGCTCATGTTGGTGCATCTGGGAGCTAACAGCTTCCTATAGCCTTTCCTGAACACCCCCTAGAGTCTGGATCTGTATCCAGTGAAATGAGTGTCAGAGGAGAAACAAGGATGCAGACAGGAGGAGGAGGAAGTTTGCTTTTTTGCTAACCAGCTTCACAGAGTTTTTGGTCAGAGTGTTGTGACCCAGATAGGGATGCAACTTTACAACTCAACATGCATGATCCTACCTTCTTTCAATGGCTTGCTCAGCAGCACAGACAAACGTTCTCCTTTTGCTTGTTTACAGATTCCAGCTCTTCCCTCACACTGTGGAACTGTGCTACCAGAACTCCTTGCTGCACACCAGTGAAGAGTTGGCCATGGTTGTGGTGGGACCCCTAACCTTGAATGCAGGGCTGCTTCTCATGGTCCTGATCAGATGGGGCTGTCAGCAGCTGTTTGACTCATTCCCTTCCTTCTTGTCAAAGTTTATCATAGCTATGGGACTATGGACAGTGCTAGACCCCTTGGCAGTGTTTGTAGTGGATTCATTCCTGGGGGTGAGTCACTTAAAATAACTTGGACATGAGAACTTGACATAGAAGTTTGTTTTATTCAGTGAATCACTGAAAGATATGAAAATCCACCCCTGGCACTAGAACATAAAAGTTAAAAAGAAATTAAATAATAATGTTATACATTACCTTTTTTATTAACAAAATTCCCATCTAATGGAGTCACTGTGTTTCTGCAGAAAATTAAGAGCAGTGTACAAGCCATATTTGGAGATAAGAAAGTAAATCCACTGCTGGAGTGATTGCATCTGCTTTGAAAAGAATTACTGCAATTTTGGATGTTAATGGGAATGGTTTAATGAACAATCCTAATTATTAAGGTTTCAGATTTTTTTAAGCATCGAAACAGACAAAATGAAAAAATGGAGGTTATCATGCACTTCTCTGACATGCAAGGTAGTTAATATAATTTACTGGCACACCTAAAAAGACTTGTGAGATTGAAAGACAGACATCTTTCAGGAGAGAGTTTCATCATATGCAAAAACAGGAGAGCAAAGTTCCCAGCTCTGTCTGTGCCTGTGTATGGGCTGTGTAGCCCAACTGTTCTTGGGTGGCTGCAGACTTTTATCACATCTGAGATAATGCCCAGTGTGCCAGAGCACAAATTTAAAATTTGGATCTCCCTGTGTATGTGACACAGGCTCTATTCAATGGTTGCAGGATGCTGAGGTCTTTTCTGGGGTTGTAGTATTGCTCCTCTTCTGCCCTTGCTGGTCTTTCAAAGTCATCTACATTACTGTTGCTCGCTCCAGATGAAATCTAATCTAATCTACAGGTCTTGTTGTGGATCAGGTTTTCTCAGGTCTCTTGGTTCTTCGTCATCTAACCTGTGCTCTGCAGGTGATTTTTCACTCTTTGCACAATGTTTTCCATTGCAGTGGTTTTGAAAATTAAAATTCAGCTCTTCAAGAAATACAATTGGAGCTCACTTGAGAGGTAATTGCAATACTTTAAGGATGTGGCAACACTCTATAGTTTTCACTTGGGCAGCCTGCATTTATTTATTTATTTTTAAATTCCATGATGTAAAATATGCACAGTATTGAATTTTAATTGTAATTATTCAGATTAAGATTTTTTTTTCCTAAAAGAAAAAGGTGTATTTCCTCAATAACCAGGGTAAGAATACTGAAATGTTTTAATGGATTTTTTATCCCCTCTAATACTGGTGTATTAATAAAAGAGAGGATGAGGTTTGCCTTATCTTTCCCACACTTGCATTGAGAAAATCGTTGCCTTTGACTTCAGTGGAATTATTCTCAGCTCTACACAGACTGGATTACTTATCAATTTCAAATAGCACTTGGGCAGAGGGAAACGTGAGATACAAGTAAAATGACTTAGTTTTTCATTAAAGTGTTAAAAATGCACACACTTCTCTGTACTTCATATTGAAAATTTGGCAGTCTTACTCACCAAGATTATCTTTGGTAGAAACTCATTTGTTCAAATATTACACAATATACTGTATGTATCCTTTCCAAAATGAAACAATATCTCTTACATGTGTTTTCATTATTGCATTTGTAAATTTTTTTTTCTCTTGGCATTCTTTCAGCAGCTATTTCAGATTTGCTTGCCAATCTATTTTAGATCAAACCTTTTTAAAATACTCTTTTGTGGTAATATGAGTTATTTTAGTGCTAGAATGTATTTTAGTATTTAAAATGACCTTAATACTTATGAAAGATGACAGATAGCCCTGGAGACAAAAGTTTCTGTGTTTACTAACTAATGCTTTTTATTGTTAAGGAAAGGCTAGAGAGCAGTTGCATATTTGTGGGGCGTTTCAAGTCATCATCCAAAATGCTGTGTCAAATGTGTTATTTCAAATTTCATTTACTGTCGGCTTGTAGAAGGATGTTCCAGGGATGAGAAACATTCCCATGCAGTTCAAGTTGCTGTTCGGTCAGAGCTTTCCTGGGACCTCACTCACTTCGTCTGTCTGTGACTTCCAAAATGCAGAAAACAATAACACCTCCTTGGCCACATGGATGCATCTCATTATGAAAAACAGGAGTCACTGCAAAAAGCTCACATGACCACCACATGTGGTGGTATGATGAGTACCTGAGAGAGATGTTGACAAATGTTATTTAAGCTATTTAAAATGAAGACATCTTTCTTGGATCATGTCTTTTAGGACCACGGAAGGTATACAGATTGACAGAGTACTTTTGTTAGAAAAAAAGTATAGAGAAGTAAAGTTCTCCCACACCACTTTTGCTTTGCCATGGAAAATTGCTTGGATAGGAGAGAAATTTATTCTTATTTGCCATTCAGACTTTTTCCTCTCTGGAGGAATGTCAGGACGTGACTGCTGTGCAGAGGATTTTCCTTGGTAGACAGTTGCTTCAGTAAGAAAGCTGTGGCAGCAGCTAATTTATTTATTTTTACTCTTTTTTTTTTTTTTCCTTTTTTTTTTCCAAGAAGAGAAGATGGGGCAGGGAGATAGAAGAGGACCAGAGTATTTAATTCTTTTTGTAATTTTTGTAATAAATATGTGACTCATCTTTATATGTCATTACCAGTCTCCTGGGACCTACAATTTCCATGACAGAAAGCTAGTAGTGTTGCAAATGGTGAAGAGAGAACAAAAATGTACTCAAGAATCACAGTCCTTCAATAGCTGTCCTTCCTTTTCTGTGTCCATTCCTTTACTATGCACATCATTGCTAAAATATCCAGAAATGGGTAGAAAGTTATGACACTTCCTAAGGGTTAATCTAGGCAAGTTGCTCAGAAAGGTGCAGATTTCTTGAAGCCTAAAGGTCACAGATCTTCTCTGAATGATGGACACTGGATGCTTTAGTGGTGCAGTTTCAC